ATGATGTAGAAGTAGAACCCACGAACAGAACTAGAGAATGAGAGAAGCGGCCGCGATTGAAAGCATGAAAGCTAGTATTTGTGGTTATACAAATACTATGTAAATGCTTGACTTGGAAAATTTTATAGTTTATTGCCGTATTATTCTATAAGACTATCGACATCATAAAAGATTCCTTCCACTCTTAAATTTCTTATTTATTTACAATCATCTAATTTGTAGACTAACACACTACAGTATTTCTTTCTACGTCATAGCATCAAAAATAATTTGTAGTTTTCTCTTTTAATAAACACTCGTTGCTTAAACATTATATTACAACGATGCACTTCATATAGTTGACTCATAAAAGCCAATCAATAATTCTTGTTAAACTAATCAAAAGTTCAAATCCCATTTATATTCTCTTTTCTTTTTTAATAATATAAAATCGTTATTTTAAGAAAAGAGTTCTACTTGTCAGTCTCATAATAGATTCCTAGACTTATCTCTCTCTCTCTCTCTCTCTCTCTCTCTCTCTCACTCACGCACAAACAACAAACAACACACATAACCTTCTCACCAGAATGGCCACCAACGCCGACGAATTCTCCGACGATGACACATCGCCGATCGAAGAAGTCCGTTTAACGGTAACAAACACCGACGACCCGACACTCCCGGTTTGGACATTTAGGATGTGGTTCTTAGGCCTAATCTCATGTTCACTCCTCTCTTTCCTTAACCAATTCTTCTCGTACCGCACCGAACCGCTTGTAATCACTCAAATCACGGTTCAAGTCGCTACACTCCCTATCGGTCATTTCTTGGCCAAGGTGCTTCCCAAAACCCGGTTTGGGCTACCTGGATTTGGATCGACCCGGTTCTCGTTGAACCCGGGTCCGTTTAACATGAAAGAACATGTGTTGATCTCGATTTTCGCGAATGCGGGTAGTGCGTTCGGATCCGGGTCGGCTTACGCGGTTGGTATCGTCACAATCATTAAAGCTTTTTACCGCAAGAATATTTCTTTTATTGCCGGTTGGCTGCTCATCATCACTACCCAGGTACTTTCACTTTAATCACTTTTTTGTTCTCAAGCTGTTATAGACTTATAAATATGAATTTAATGGGACGTAAGTTGAAGAAATTTACATCTTAATGTTCATATTTGGTCGCCAAAACAAGTTCTTGTTTCTCAACAAATACATAATTGTAGGTATTGGGATACGGGTGGGCCGGTTTACTGAGGAAATACGTGGTCGAACCGGCTCATATGTGGTGGCCTAGCACTTTGGTTCAAGTCTCACTGTTTCGGTTAGTTTTCTACTCATAATTTTTAAAGTCTATAATAAGTATACTAGATATTTTTGATATGGTAAACGTTAAAATTAATCTGTCGGAGAAAGCAACTTTTATAAATTTTCGTTCTAAGTCCCAAAGTAAAAACAATTTCTTCTTCGTATCAATGTTTGTCGAATATTCAAAAAAAAATTGTTTGTCGAATAATCATATAAGTACAAGCTTATCTGTATCTCTTTTCCAAAAAAAAAAAAAAATCCCAGAGAAAATAATTTATCGTATATCAACATTTGGTTCGTCGAGTTGACTCCATTAGCGCGGGTAAATACTCGTTGACTTTTCCTCTACAATTTTCCAATTTTCTTTTTTTTTTGAACATTTGCTATCAAATTTCCAATTTTCACACTCATTTTCTTTTGTGATTTTTCAACCTTCTCATCGAACTTAAAAGATTGGGATTTCATTATAACGGTCATTGGTCAATAGAAAAAGTATAGTAATATTATCTTATTTGTATAAAAATAATAAGATATAATGGAGTCACTAGCCAAAATTATGGTCCACGCTTAATGCTTGTGGGCTATCCATTGATTATCGAGCATGAACTTGATCTTCTTATCCATCCTGTACATGATTGACCAAATGCATACACACCTGAGCCTATAGTCCGCTTAATATATGTATATCTCAATTTAAAAATTATAATTTTCACAAGTAAAACAAAAAACAATTTTAAGGAGAAAATTTAATGAACAAGGAGGAATCCACGTGAGTACGTTCAACTTGTAGACATGGCGGTCTTTTTGCATCTACGTAAGTGTGACCTTACTTATTCACTCGGTGGTCTACAAGTTGAATAACATTTTCACACTTCATAATCTTGACAAAAGGAAACATATTTGAATGTTTACTTTTCTTAAAAAACCATTTATTGATTTATGAAAGCTTTAATAGAGAACATAAACACGTTATCGTCTTTATTATTACAACAAATGAAGTTATTTAATTGTCTAATCTATTGCTGTGGTGGAGGTTGCACATGGTGGGTCTATGCATATTTACTATTCAACATATAATTAATGGGAGATTACGATATCCTTAGATATGTAATTACTTATTATAAATTGATGAGAGTTGCTGCCAAGACCAGAATGCAAGATCCACTAAAATTCGAAGAAATTAACTTTTACGTCAAAAGTTTAACACGTTGTCGACTTTTACTAACGACTCTAATTTATCACCCTACAATGAGTTTTTTTTGTTCTAAACTGGTTTTGTACCCAACTATGAGTTGAGTTAAATTTATCATTACATGGATATTCACATACGATTAGGAATAATTTTATGTGAATGTATACTACATGATTTTTTAATAAATGATTTTTCACTAGAAAATTTTCCAATCCAAACTATATCCGAGAAAGAAATAAGAAAAATCTTGATATCTTATATAATAAGATAATACATATAAGCCAACTTTATAGTTTATATAACAAGATAATGTTACCATAAATCTAAAAATCAATTTTTTTTAATATTGCATGTAGGGCACTACATGAGAAGGATGAGCAAAGGATGACGAGAGCGAAATTCTTTGTAATAGCATTAGTATGCAGTTTCGGATGGTACATAGTCCCTGGCTATCTCTTCACAACACTCACAAGCATCTCATGGATTTGTTGGGCATTTCCAAGATCAGTCACAGCTCAACAGATTGGTTCGGGAATGAGAGGTCTCGGTCTTGGAGCCTTTACACTCGACTGGACCGCGGTTGCCTCTTTCTTGTTCAGTCCACTCATCAGCCCTTTCTTCGCCATCGCTAACGTTTTCTTCGGTTATGTTCTTTTGATCTACATCGTGTTGCCTTTGTCATATTGGGGATTAGATTCTTACAACGCAAAGAGGTTTCCCATATTTTCATCGCATTTGTTCACATCGGTTGGTCAGAAATACGATATCCCTGCGATCGTGAATAACAAGTTTGAGCTCGATGTAGCCAAGTATGAGCAACAAGGAAGGATTAACTTGAGCATGTTCTTTGCTCTTACCTATGGGCTTGGTTTCGCCACCATTGCTTCTACACTCACTCATGTAGCTCTCTTCTATGGCAGGTATATATAATTACTGTCGTAACAAAGTACTATTTTGAATCATATATATACTCAATAATTATATGCAATCAACAGGGAGATTTCGGAGAGGTTTCGAGTGTCGTACAAGGGCAAAGAAGATATACACACTCGGTTGATGAAGAGATATAAGGACATACCTTCATGGTGGTTTTACTCAATGTTGGCTTGTACACTTCTCGTCTCTCTTGCCTTATGTATTTTCTTGAACGATGAGGTTCAAATGCCTTGGTGGGGACTTGTGTTCGCAAGTGCCATGGCTTTCATCTTCACACTTCCCATCAGCATCATAACCGCAACAACTAACCAAGTAAGCAATATAATGTCATTGGTTACTCTTGTTAATTATTTTACCTTTTTGCAACGACGTAGTCATTTTTCACCGGCGTGTATTGTAGACACCGGGGTTGAATATAATAACGGAGTACGCAATGGGACTCATTTACCCGGGACGACCTATCGCAAACGTATGCTTCAAAGTCTATGGATACATGAGTATGGCACAAGCTGTCTCTTTCTTGAATGACTTCAAACTTGGTCACTACATGAAGATCCCACCAAGATCCATGTTCTTGGTTCAGTTCATTGGTACAATTCTCGCTGGAACAATCAACATAACGGTCGCATGGTGGCAATTAACCTCTATCAAAAACATATGTCAAGACGAACTTCTACCCCCGAACAGCCCATGGACATGTCCCGGTGACCGTGTTTTCTTCGATGCATCGGTCATTTGGGGATTGGTCGGACCAAAACGGATCTTCGGCTCTCAAGGAAACTACGCAGCCATGAATTGGTTTTTCCTTGGTGGCGCGATAGGACCCGTGATAGTGTGGTTATGCCACAAAGCGTTTCCAAAACGCTCTTGGATCCCACTTGTGAATCTCCCGGTTCTTCTAGGAGCAACCGCAATGATGCCACCTGCGACGGCCGTGAACTACAATTCATGGATTCTGGTGGGGACGATATTCAACTTGTTTGTGTTCCGGTACCGGAAAAGTTGGTGGCAAAGGTATAACTACGTGCTCTCAGCTGCCATGGACGCTGGTGTAGCGTTCATGGCGGTTCTGTTGTACTTCTCGGTAGGGATGGAGGAGAAGAGTTTGGATTGGTGGGGAACGAGAGGTGAACACTGTGATCTAGCTCAGTGTCCTACCGCTCGAGGAGTCATTGTTGATGGTTGTCCGGTTAAATGATCTTATGTTTCATTGGTGTGTTACAAGCGCATGTATGATATTTACATTTATAAAGAGATTAAGTAAATGGATTCGCGAAAGAATTGATAACCCTTAAACAATTTATTTCCGTTTACAATTCCGGTTCAACTTGTAAAAATTCCTTCGAAGCCAAAATGATTTTGTTTTCGAGCTTTCCTGAAACTAAATATGAAAGCTTTACTACCATTATATCCATAACGCATTATTTGATTTAAGGGAAATAACCCAAGTCATACAAACGAAAACCATTAAGACTTCAAACTTGCAGTGTCTGGTTTTGGAAATAAAATATTGTTATTTGAGGATTATCCAAATTCTCAGCATATCACAGCTGAACAATCTTTAGATAATAAAGCAATAAGAAATGAAAACTTCAGGCACCAATACCGGAGGTAGTGTTCTTCCTGCACTCAGACAACATGTCCATGTAGAACTGGCACTTGCTAATCTCGCTTCCATAGCTGCTGATGCACTGCATCAATAACAAAACAAAAAGAAGAAGCCCAAAATCAGATGAATAATGATTATTTTCATCCTATTGTACTGATTATGCCATCCCATTTTAGTTTATGATCCCATCCATAACTAAAACCAGTTCAATCAAATGAATGACAATATTTCAGCCGGCTATAAGAATTAGTTCAATAAAAAAGTCTCATCATGCCTGTTCAGCTCTCATGCATTTTAGAATAAAAGAGTCTTAACACTTACATCTTGGAAAGCCTTAGCATGAATGTCACAGGAACTCGAGAACACGTTGCTTGCAGCAGGAGCTCCAGACGCAGAGGCAGCCTCAACAGCTTCGTGCTGAATGGTTCGTGGGCCCATCACTGAATCCACAGCCCTGTGTGCGACTGCACTCCCGGTACCAAAAGCCATACCTAGTTGTTCCCAAACACACAAACATACAGGTCAGGACAGGCGTTTCAACAATCAAACAGTGTGTTGGTCTAGACAACGAAATGCTTCAAGACAGATTTGGCGCATTTACCCTGAGCTATGGTTGAACCAATGCCTGAGAACATGCCACCACCACTGCTCGCCTGAGCTGGAGCTGGAGGAGGAGCACGGTTTACTGGAAAAAACAAACAAAACCACCAGAAAGAACAAATTATAAACATGAAATTGATTGAATAGTATCATAAACAAAAGAGCAACCAGACAGTTTCAGAAATTGGATTATACCAGTTTGAGGAGGGGGGCTGCGTGCAGCAGCAGGACGGGGACGAGGAGCAGATCTTCCTGCAAACGCAAACAGATGAGAAACAAAAAAAAGTCACAGAATAATCGTCTCCTCTACTATCTAGAAATGGGCACCTAAGAACAATAATTCCCCTCCAAGAAAAAAGAAAAAAACGGAGAAATGAAATGAATCACAACCGTATCTCGAATGTTCTACAGATTGAACACCAAATACGCCTTACACTTAGGGTTATTTCACTATCTGAAGCGTTGCTTCGATATACCAAAATATCAGACAAGGGAAACATACAAGGGAAAAAGTCAAACATCCGGTAAACCCTAGATCGGTGATTCACGCAAAAACGAAGCCAAAAACCAAAAACACGACAGTTTCGTCATCATCCAAAGCAATAGATCTGGAGAAATCGGGAAAGAGAAGCCTTTACCTCCTGAGCTACGGCGACCCATTTTGGGATTAGAAAAGACGGCGAAGAAATGAAAACGGAGAGAGATTTGAGGCAAATGGAGATTGCAAAAACGCTGATATGAGGCCCCAATTCTGGAGGCGGTTGTTTTATATAGGGGTGACGGAGACGAGGTCAAGGCCACGGACGCGGATATGTACACGTGTATGATTTTCATTGGTTGTTAGCTGTTCATTTCTAGAACCTGGAAAAGATTTTCCCAAAGCCTCTCTAAATATTACCAAATATGGGCTTCGTTACAGGTCCAATAGATTCTTTTCGCTTATTGGTTTCGCAAGTCCATCAAATTCAACTCTGAAGGTCGATTTTTTAACAATTCCGATTTTTTTTTTCTTTGTGAAGACAAAATTAATTACAAGATCATTTCACTTTAACTGAAATAGCATCAATTGTGTAAAATACATAGAAACAATGGCTTCATTTTAAAAAGCTCGTTTTATTTGCTTATACTCCCTCCGTTTCCGTTCCATATTGTATGATGTTTTGAGTTTTTTATTTTGTTTCACAAAGATTGATTTTCTACATTATATTTAATATATTTCTATTTCCAAGATAACTTTTTAAATAAAAAAATATAAAAAATTAGTATTAAATTAATAAACACACAAAAAATATTTTAAAAAAGTAAATAATAATTATTTTCTTAATATCTGTGAAACATCTAAAACATCATACATAAGCTCCACATCTGACTCTGGCACTGTCTGGTTGGTTTAACTCCACGGAGGACCTTCTTCTTTGGATGATAACGAACAAAAACGTAGGGTACAAAATAATAAGAATTTTCAACGGAACAAACACTCTTAGAGTAGACTCTTGATAGACCCAAATTTCAGTGTTTACGCTTTCGTGACAACCAATTTCGCACATGAAATCTTAATTTTGCATTTCTATTAATTACGCTAGTAATTGTGAGTTGTGTAGAGGATTGCTTGGAATCTTTATATTTCATATTTTATTGTAGTTTTGCTACAGATTAATTAAAGAAAGAAAAAGCGGTTTTAGAGAATGTGAAAAGCTATATAGTGAAGGGTCTCACAAAACCATCAGTGAAACTCTGTAAACTGTGAATTTATTCTATGGCTTTGATCATGGAACTTAAAAGAGTAAACTTGCTGTAATTTTTCTACCAATTTCATAGCTTATGAAGGCGAGACAAGCTGAAACAGCAAGAACAGTAAAATATAATGCGATTATGCAAGCAAATTTCAGCACTCCAAAGCAAAAACAGTTAAACCACTGCTCTCAAGTTTTTCATTTTGTGCACATTTTTCTACTGAAAAAGTTCGTGATACAACTCAACGGTTTCTATAGCAAGGACTACCTCTAGCTATTTTCAATCAAATCTCAATTCCACGTAGTAATCATGTGTGATAAAAGAAGAAAAATTTAGAGACGACATCGAACTTATTCCATCAAAGTTATTTAAAATGGAAAAAAGATGTTGTACAAGAGTTCAGAAGATCCAAACGAAACGAAAAGAGTATAGAAAACAAGAAACAGGTGTGAGCTCGCATATTTTTTTTTCTGTTTTCTGTATGGTGAAAACTGTGTGGTTCTAGTTTAGGTTGTATTTTTTGGACAATGAGGTTTCACCTGTAAGGATGAAAGCATGAAGGAGGTTTTGAGCAGCCTGGGTTTGATCAGGTGTCCCTGATATGACAATGATCCTGTCACCTGTTCCTAGAGGAGGTTCATGGACTATGACCCTCGCACCCGATATCTGATTGAACAAACATCAAATGGTATATAAGCTATGCTTAAGCGGTTATGACACCAACTATTTAGTTTGTATCTGATCATCTCTCAGACTAAATGAGCCTATACGAGAATCCAAAGTCGTAACACTGAATGATGGGTTTATAAGCAAAGGTTCGAGAACTTCAGAAATTTATTGTGTTTTCGTGACCTAGATTAAGGGTGGCAGGATGGTTTGTACAATGTAAAACATTGCTCTACTTATGGGTTTTGATTTTTGCATGCTTTCTTTTTAGTAAGCCTAGAGTTCATTTCTGTTTTCTTTTTCATCGTTAGTAACTAATCCTTGGTATATGGTTTCAATGAGTTAAAGACAAGTCAAAGGAAACTAAAACCTATATCTACTCTTGTGGAACAAATAACATTGCCTAACCTCCTTTGGATAAACACTATTGGGCAACCCTGAAAAGATTCGTAAACAAAATTATATATCTTACCCGTCTCAGTTGCTCCAGATTGTAGCCATTCTCTCCATACACAAAGCTCATAGCATTTTCCGGGACTCTAATTTCTACAGTTGTGTTTGTAACGATGGCAGATTTGTGTCCACTGCAAAAGATTAAGCAAGCATGTTACATACAGAATGTTAATAGCCGTAATCTCACCCAACTTTCTATAACTGTTGTGCTTTTTACCTGCCATGTACAAGGCCAGCCCTTGCCGAAGATAATCCGCCACTGGCATCAGATAAGCCTCTAGGAGCTGCTGGTGGCTGCATAAAGACTATGTGTATCAGCTACACAAGTTACAGTACAATCACAAACTCTACAGAATGGGTAAATACAGAGGGATGGAGACATACCGGGGATGCCCACATACGAGATGCGGTCTCAGTTAACTGATGGGAGATGTCACTGTGGTCCATAGTGGACCGCGGACCAAAATTAGGAGAATAGCCTGCTGATGGAATAAACCGATCAGGAATCGGGTCTTCTGGTCTTAAGTAAGGATCTGTGCCAACAGGTCTCGAATAGTTAACTGATGAATGAGGCCCACCTAAAAATGAATCCTCAGATCTTCTGCGCAGACTTGTGGAAATGGTAGGTGGATGACTAAAGGATTGTTGAGACCCAATAGACAGAGGAGTATCTGATTGTCCGTGGTAGCTTCTCTCTGTAGTTAAGGTGGGGTTGCTCTTGGTTATGGAATTTTCCATTGATTTTGAGAAAAAACTGTCTCGCAGCCTGCTCGTAATGTGGTAAATGGCTTCTCTCACATTCGGAAACTCCCCTGAAATCTATTAGCCAGCAAAGAATGAGTTTGTGACAGACAATTTAAGAACAAATGAACAATGATGCTTCCAAAGAGAATAATATGAAAACTGCATTTCACAGTTGTCCTTTTTTAATTCAACTGTTCCCAAAAAAAACCCTCAACTATGTTTACAGAAAGTGCAAGAATTTGATTCTCTCTGTTTGCATGGATGCTATTTCTTTCAGAAAATATCAACCAAAACAGGATTCGGAAATGAAAAGCAAAGCTCTACCATTAAGCATGCTGATTCTAAATTATGCTTCAAAAATCATATGAGAGATTGTCAAGATCACACTACATCTTTTAACTAATTAGTACCATAATCATAAGGTCAACAAATGATCTAAGTACCTGCACAACTTGATCGTTTTCTGAAACACATTTTGGATTTTGATCAGCCTTCAAAATTTGAATTGCAGCCCCAGTGGTTTTCCGCATTTCCGTTACTATAACACCTCCTTTTCCCAGCAAACAACCAATCTGACTTGTTGGGACCACAAGCCGTGCAGTGATAGATGTCCTTGGGCCATTGTCTAAGATTTTTTTTGTCGCAAGCTCAAATAATCTAGTAAAAACAAGGACAGTAGCTTTCTGGGCAGGCGAACTTTGAGATTCAGGGTTCTACATGATGAACAAGCAGAGCAATTATCAAACAATATGAGTAAATAGATAGGATAATATCACAAAAGCAACCATGAAAATGGGAAGAGATATATAAAAAAGAAAAGACAAACCTCTGGTGCAGTAACTGAAATTAAACGTTCTTCGCAGTCAGTAACCGTATTTCCCACATTTATGAAGGCACCTGTCTCGCTATGAAGCATCCTGATAACTTTACCCCCTGTCCCGATAATTCCGCCAGCACTTTCAGTGGAACAAAGTATCTTAAAAACCACTTCTTGGTTCCCTACTTCCACTTCTGACAGAGGTGGTTTCATGGTGGCAGCGTTAGTCATTGAAGCAGAGGTATTACTGTTCTGATGATGTGTATCTATAGTTGAATAACGATGCGCAAGAAAATCTGCAGTTGACCGACGAAGAGTTTCTTGTGGAACTGTTTCAACACGCCTCCCAAAAGCATCACGTGGATACGACTCAAAAGGCATCCCCATAGCATCACGTTGAACCATCTCGAATGGTCTATGCAAGGACTCATGAGAATCATCCACCTCTCTACGCTGTAGATGAACATCTCCCCTGACAACATCAGAAGCCCTGTATAAAGTTTCTCGAGGAGCCACATCGACATGCCTGCGCAAAGTATCATGCCGCTGTTCCGCCTCAACATGCCTGCGTAAAGCATCTTGCCGCTGTTCCGCCTCGATATGCCTCCGTAAAGCATCGTGACGGTCCGCCTCGACATGCCTACGATGCAAAGCATCTTGACGGTCCGCCTCGACGTGCCTACGATGCAAAGCATCTTGACGGTCCGCCTCGATATGCCTATGCGTATGATGCAAAGCATCGTGACGAATCACATCATTAGGCCGAGCGAAAGCGCCACGAGGAAACATTTCAGCTGTTCTCGGTCTGTAATCGTAATCTTCAACAACGGACCTAGGAAGAGACTCCTGAATAATTGTTTCTATGGGCCTATGCAAAGATGCTTCGATCTCCTTTTCAAGAGGTCTGTTTCCGACCATCCTTACCGTGTTTACCGGTTGACAATCTTGCAGGCAACGGGAGACGGATACAAGAGCTTTCTTCACAGCCATAACATTACCTTCAATCTGCCACATACACATAGTTTGATTACTCAAGGTGAGAAAAAAATATACAATGCAATTTGCAATAGCAACAAGTTAGTTCGTACCTCCACCATCTCGTCATCAGCATCAGCGCAAATCGGCAAATTCTCAGCCCGTACCGCAATTTTGCAGCCAGTTTCTTTCCTAATGCTCCCAACCATTTGACCACCCTTGCCTATCACAGCCCCCGCATGGCTAGACTCCGTCAACAGTCGGCAAACCACCGTTTCACTATCGGCTTCTGCAGCTAAAACTTCGAAAACCCGAATCAACGCTGCTTGTACTTTAGATACCTCAACTTCCTCCTCCTTCTTCTCCGCTTCTGCGTTTCTACTGTTGTAAACACCTAGTTTTACCCTAGACCCTGAATCCACTTGTGATATGATCGTGATGACCCGATCCGGAGACCCAAACGGAGGCTCCTCGACCCGTATCTTAGCTCCGGTTGACTGTTGGAGCTGTTTGATCACGCTACCGGATTTTCCAATCACCGCACCGACCTGCGACAAGGGGCACAGCAATCGAAACGACGCGTGTCCCACCGGTACAATCAAAGGCGAGAGGAGCTGCGCGTGATGCGTCTTCACCCTTTTCGAAGATCCGAACCCAGAACCCGGATCGATCGCTCCGGATCTCTTCTCTATAGAATAGTGAAAGCTGTTTCTCTCCATTCTCTCTCTCTCTCTCTCTCTCTCTTTGTCACGGCGGTCCGGTTCCCGGCGAAGAGATTGTTACGATATGTCTTTCGCAGTCTCTGACGCTAAATTGCTAACTTGCGCATTAACCACCAAACGAGGTCGTTTCTATAGGTGTTCTTTTACATGCAAACCCGAACCGAATTCTGATAAACCCAAACTTTATTGGAACTTGGTATATATCTTATCTTGATGCTAGAATTACGAAGAAAGAGACTTGTTTTATTATGTTACAATGAACAAAGATCTACACTGGTTTGTGTTTTAACAGCTCTATGTTACAAACTTACAATGAACAAGATCTAATAGATTGATTTATGTTTTAACACATTAAGTAAAAAAGAGGAATCGTTCAAACTTCGTAGCCAGGATTCACAGTCTGCTGCACATCCCCGTAGCTCTCAAGCTCAGCCACATCCTCAACGCTCCCAAGAAACAGAGGCAATCTCTGGTGAAGCTTCACAGGCTGTATCGAAAGTATCCCTCTCTTTCCATCAGAGGCTTTACCACCAGCTTGTTCCACGAGAAAAGCCAAAGGGTTTCCTTCATAGACTAAACGGAGATGGTCTCTTGGATTCATAGCCACTCCGCCGTATAACAGAGTCCTGTGAAGATCAGCCACCAAAGAACAAATGTAACGCGCCGAGTATTTCTTTGGGTTTTCGCCTTTCCCTTGTCGCACCGTATCAATGTACTTCCTCAAACCTTCTGGCCAGTCGAAGTACCTAGCATCGTTCACTGAGTAGATTTGTCCTGTTGTTGATTGATGGACCAAATAGAGCCATGGTGTTTAGTCATATGGTATTACTGCAAAAATGAGTCATAAGTAGCTTTTACCTCGAGTGGGGATCTTAACGTTTTGATGGGTAAGAACGAATTCGCCAGTGGAATGATCAAGCGTGAAGGCATGTGTTCCGGAGCCGAGAGTAACACAGAGTATCGTGGCTGAAGAGTAGAGCACGTAACCGGAAGCTACAAGCCTGTTTCCTCTCTGCAGAGAATTGAGCTCAGCTTTCTCTTCAACTGGCAAATGGTCAAGCTCAGCGAGGCGGTTGTAAATCCCAAATATAGTTCCCGTGGGTATCGAAGCATCGATGTTACGTGATCCGTCTAAAGGATCTACAACCACAACGTAAGGACCGTCATCTTTTATCCAAGTGGGGCTATCGTCTTCCTCGGAAGCCATTACTGCTACTTTCCCGGAGTTTCTAAGAGATGACAAGATGATATCGTTCTGCAAAGCAGACCGTGAGTTGTAAGAATTGAATCTTGATATGAATTATGACAAAAAAAAGAGGGTAGAGGAAAACACAGACCGAGACAATATCGAGCGGTTTAGGCGCATCTCGGTCTGAGCCACTGGATGAGTTAACAGAGAGCTTTCCAAGTGAAGAATTGAAAGGGGACGCGACGAGAGAAGCGATTCTTTTGCAGGCATGCTGTAAATGGTAGAGCAACACCACAAGATCATCTCCTACATTTGTCCCCTCTCTCCCTCCTCCTCCTCCATTACCTATCATAGAAAACGGGCACTAACAGCTTAATAAACACAATATTGAAACTCTTCAGTCAATTTCTGTATATACAGAGGAACCCTCAAAACTATATTTATCTCACTGAGAGCGTTTCCAGGACGTATTTTACTGAATTAATCACATTTTAGATGCTAAATTCAGGATATTCCGATAAAGTCCGGTTTTTCGGACATAGATGATAGATTGACAGTGAATGAAACAGAACACAAACATTAACTTCAGTCTATTGAGACAGATGCTAGATTCGCTCAGACAGAGCAGTTTGTTACCTGCAAAGTCTACGAGAGTACAGTATCCATCATCATCATCGCCGATTGAATCCTGACGAGTGGCGAGTGACTTAAATGAAGCAGACTCACGACGAGACGCCATCCCGCGACGGCTGTTAACGGTGGCCGGAGGAGAGAGAACAGAAAAAGCTGCGATACGTCTCAGCGGGTAAAGATCGAGTCTTGGCGGGGAAATTGAAGTCGGGTGTCGAGTTATAGTGAGAGATTGCATTATTTTTCTGGATTTAGAGCATCCGCGAAACTCAGTCTCATCTGGGTACGCTTCAAAATCCCGGATAGAGGGATGACGGATCCCATAGTCCACACTATCGGCTTCCGGTTAAATTTAGGATTTGGGTTCGGTTTTGTAATGAACCGGTTCGATTATAAGAGTTAAAAGAGTTTAAAGGAAAGGCCTTTCAGAATCAACTTTATTCATATAAACAGAGACACAAACAGATTTTCTGTTACTGTTACACGAATCATTTCAAAGTTCCTTCTTTTTTGAAGATTTCACAGACATAAGAAATTGGGAGTATCTTTCTCTTACGAAGAATTCTTGTGGAGCATTGTGTCAGAGACAACTTGAGGCTTGAAATCTGGCTTCATGTACTTAGCGAGAAGATCGGCATAGAGTTCGTATCTCGCGGTCATTCTAAATCCCCATTTGTCTTTGTACTGCCGACAGAGATTGAGATCCATGTCTGAGATCATCAAACCATCTTTGTAACGGGACAAAGACGGTGTGCAAGAAGCATCCGGTGCAGAGAAATGGCTTGACCCATAGAAATGACCGAAATCATTGTGCTGCGGTTTACCATCGCCTGACGTGAAAGCATTGGGGAACACTTCGGTTCCAACTCGGTTAATGGATCCCACAAAGTAACTGTTTGCTATCGCAGCGTTTCTTGCCTGAGTTTCAAATGAAGAGATTGAAATGTCAGACCATGTTTATCATAGATAGATAATAGAGCTTCAGATTTGGGGTAAAAATGGAGAATCAGAAGTTAAAACCTCAATCGGCCACATTGGTTCACTGAGTTCACCAACAGTTGCTGAAGGGTTGAAGACAATCTCGGCACCATTTAGACCAAAAGCCAACCAATTTAGAGGATGGTGTCTTCCATAACATATGTTAACTGCAATTTTCCCAAACACCGTCTCAAAGACAGGATGACCAGTGTCTCCTTCCATGTAATACGTGCTCTCGTTGAAATCTCCAACCCTCGGTATGTGGTTCTGCCACGACCAAGCAATAAAATTTAGCTCAGAAGAAAAAAAGACGAAGCAACAACAATAGACATGTATAGTGCAAGTGTTTACCTTTCGATGCTTGCCTATGATATTTCCGTTGTTCCCTATTATCACAGCGGTATTCCAAAGTACTTCACCGTGATCGATGTCTCTTTCGAGAATAGGACTCACAATCACCATGTTATACTTTCTGGCTAGTTCTTGAAGAAACTTTGTTGATTCGCCATCAACAGGCTCTGCGAACTCACACCATTTCTTCTCCCTTGTGCAGAATGCGAATGGCATAGTCCAAGCTTCCTATCGATAGAACCGTTTTCAAAGTTAGAAACAGTGAACTAATAACAAGCTTTGTTATAAAGAAAGCAAACCTGTAAGCACAGTATGTTGACACCAGCAAAACCTGCAGCGTCTATCATCGGCTTCAACTTGTCGAATATTCCTCTTTTTTGGTCCGAGAATGGAGCAGTAGTTGGAAGAGCAATGGAGTTTTGGATGAGACCAACTCTGACCACTCGAGGCTTTCGCATTTGCTCTTTATCAGCTGAAAATCTAACAGCCTATATTTGTCCAAAGATCAGATCAAAACATCTTCTCAGGCTATTTTCAGTCAATGATTCAATCCAATAACGGGGTAATAATGAGTATCAACCTGTAGATCAAAATCATGTTCTAAAGAGAAGGATTTTACAGAATCTGGCAAAACAATCTGTTCAAGCGATCTCCTCCCACAGTTACTTCCAAGGAGCAATCGGCTCACCTCCTGTAAATCAAACAATCAACCATCCATTATTATCTCTAAGAGTCTCAGTTTCCAGCAACATAACTAAACACTTCAAATCACTACAAATCCAACAAACGTTCGAATCCTGATTTTAGTAAGTAACGCAACCACACCAAACTCTCTGAGATCAAGGCAAGGTAAAACCAAGAGATCGTGATAAGTAATTAGTTTGCAGAGATGATGCTTCACCTGATAGAGCTCAGGCTTCAGATTCTCGGATAAGAGCTGATGCAGCGAATCATATCCACGAATCGATCCGTCGGCAACCGTTTCACCGTTTTCTGAGATGGTCTTATCCATTTTTACAAGAGTTGTCTTCGCTGGGAACACCTTTCCAGGTTCGATCACGAAACTAAGATGGCGACGACGTTGATGACAAAATAATGATCGGTTTATTGAATCGATTTTATTTATTCAGGAACCAAATTATTTGGGGAATCGGAATCTCAACAAGTTAAGACAGTACATATGTCTTGATCCAATGTAAAAGTATCAAAACGCAGTAGTTGACCAGAGAAGTGGGCTCCACTCTCCAAATTATAAGGCATGATAAGATTTCTGATTTCCTTTTCACCCAGATCATTTTTAACATCGCCAGAAAGCATACGACTGCTTCAAAATTTGGTTTATATGTGTATTTTGATCCTTTTTTGTGACAAATGTGTAATTTTTTATCTTAAAAACCAATTAATATACTTGACATATTTCTGAATCAACCTCAAATTATTTAACAAATATATTAGCAAATCTTGTTGCATAATTATTATTTTTCATTTAATACATTTTTTATAAATATTTTTGGTATTCCATAATAATTTTTAGACAATGGCAAATTTTCATCATATATAATTATTTTTTATAATTTTAACTTTTAACTTATAACTATAGTTATATTATAAAATATTATTATTATCATTTTTTATTTTATATATTTTCACTTATAATAATCTTAAATATTTTTTTATTAGATTAGTAAAATTTAGTAAATTTAGAATATCGATTAGCCGTTTGTAAATATAAAGGGATATCAACTTGAAATCAGGTCAATTAAATAATTTTTTTAATCAGTTTGCAAAAATATAAGAGACATGGACTTTTCAATAAATAAATAAAAAGAGAGAAAAAAATATACAGATCGATATAGCCGTTGCGGATTTTCGGTCCTTTCTTCGCCCTGAGTTAGGTTTCTGAATTTGGTGGCGATGATCGGATCAAAATCCAATTACACTTCTCTTTCTCCGATCTTTAGACCCCGTGTGGTTTTTGCGAGAGCTGGCACCGGAACCCACCGATTACAGAGAAGATATCAGCGAGATCCTCGGCCAGCGCATACGATTCAGCGATCTCTGGGATCAGGACGAGGTATGTTCTGTGTTAATTACCTATACAACAAAACTAATTTGAGGGTGTATATAACGAATTTTCATGATCTTTATAACGAATTGTGTATGATCTTTATAATGAATTTGAAATTGTGATCTTTTTTTGTTTACACAGGGAATTGCTGCTGTTGTGCCTTTGAGGCATTTCGGATGCATTTGCTGGTAAATAAATTGAAAAAAAATTATTTCTGAAATCAACAAGAATCGTTGCAGTACGATTTTCTTTTATTTCAAATCACTGATGATGAATTCGATTTATTTTATTTGAAGGCTGGGAAGTTGCTACTGCGTTGAAAGAAGTGAAACCAAAAGTTTGATGCGGCTGGTGTTAGATTGGTGGCTGTTGGTGTTGATAAGGCTCGTTTACTTGCAACTCTTGTAAGCTTTTCTAATCTTGTTTAATGTTAGAGTTTTGAGGGCAAACGTAGCTTTATCTGGTTTCACAAACGAGTCTTAACACTCTGTGGTTTCATTGCTTTAGTAACCTTTCCCCATGGAATGTCTGTACGCGGATCCTGAATGCAAGGTAAAGCGAGGGAAACAACAACTACTTTGTTTTCATGATATCTTTTGTGCTGAAATGGTGATTGAAGAGGGTTGTTCTATAATATGCAGGCATATGATGTTCTTGGTTTATACTACGGTTTAGGTCGCACTTTCTTCAACCCAGCAAGCGTATGAACCTCCTCAACATTGTTACCGTTTGATTGCATGTATTAATACTCCATCTTGGAATATCTGAGGAACTTTGATTAATACAGGCTAATGTCTTCTCAAGATTTGACAAGTTACGAGAAGCTACAAAGAATTACATCATCAAAGCCACTCCTGAAGACAGAAGCAGTGTGTTGCAACACTTGTCGCTTCACTTACAGAGTTGGATCTCTTCCAGTTAGCAAAACGTACTCCTCCCAGAGTTTCACCGTGGCTAATTTGCAGAGTCGTCTTACTTCTTCATCTGGAAAATTCAATCCGGTTTTAGCCTCCAGCTCTCACGAGGCTTCTCCTATCAGGTAACTGTCTCCCCTGTAGTTTCGAATTTGACTACATGGCGTCTTTTTCTTGGATAGTGTGATTGTAATGGTTTAATAAACAAACGAGCTTTGTATCAATTTGCCAAGCAAAGTTGAAAGTCGTTCAAATTGAAACCACAAATCACTTAAGCTTGCGTATATTAATCTGTGGAAATAAAAAAAAAAAGAGTGAATGTAGCATCTGTTAGTTATTATTTCTTTACTTTGTTTGCATTGAGTTTCAAGTTGCCCTTGTTGAATTATTTCCCTTTCTATCTCATTTCCTTAGGACATACTGCGTCTTCTGATTCAACCATGTAGCGGCTAATGTCCAAGCAGCATTGAAGGGAGGATTCAGTCATGTCAACATTAACACATGGCTTGTTGTGTTGCCTCAAATAATTGCTAAGATACATTCAAATAATCGTGCTATATGGGAACTGATACAGTCTCTTCTCATCCGCATAGGAGAAAATCACCCGCAGGTTTGCAGTTCTCTCGATTAGTATAAAATCTAAATATCTTCATAGGTATTACGAACTTTTGATGTGAATTAAGATATAGAAATTATTTTTGCACTTGCAAATTTGCTCGCTTCCTGTTGGTTGGTACTATAGACATTTTGATCTCTTTACCATTAGTTGAGTGTCATACTAACTATCAAATGCATAATTGCTCCTTGAGGCGTTCACTGTGTCTTTGCGTTATTGTGATTTCATCTTTCTCTAGCATAGAACTGTACATCATTGCAGCAAGTGAAGTATTACTGTGTAGAGTCTTTGTTACACTTTGTATATTCCCATATATTTCAGAAGGTAAACATGTGTTTTGTTGATGCAGGAGGCATAACGTCACGAACTACTAGAGGCATATGAATGTTGTATCGATTACAAAAGAACTGGAAAAGATGCAGAACTTACACAGGTAAAGCAATATTTTAGTTGCGTTCTTGCTCATCATCTTAGTGAAGGACAGGAATTGACATGTTTTATGTTCAATTGTTTATCTTCATTAGGCTTGGGATCTTTACTATCACGTTTTCAAATGGATCGACAAACAGCTGGCCAGTCTCACGACATTGAATTTGGAAGTAATTATACTTTTTTTTTCTTTGGTTCTCCCTTTCCTTTTTTGTACCTAAGTTCTAATCTGATTGATTTGTGTTTTTAACCCAGGCTTACTTGCTTACATCCTTACTTCGGTTTTCTTTAATAGTATTTTCCTGATGCAATGAAACTTCAGAAGCAAGACACGCAGCGAGAAGGAGCCTCAAACAAAAAAAAGATATGTATTCTATTTCTTTTATTTTTTTAAGATAAATGCATTAAATTTTGAATTAGTTTAAAATCGATTAGATTTATATTAGTTGTGAAACTAACCGAATATGCTATCCAGTCATTTGAATACATTTACTCGTTAGAGATTATTTATGTTCAATTTGTTTTCACAACTAATATTAATCAATCGATTTCTTATTAGGAAATAAACTAATAATAATAATAATAATAATAATAATAATAATAATAATAATAATAATAATAATAATAATAATAATAACACTAAATGAAACGTGAATTTAACCCAAACATGAATTTTGTATTGTTTCAAGTTAAAATCCAGGAAGCAAGAGATGTCGAGATAAAAAAATTCTGAAAATAAAGATAAGTCTTCTATTTTTTCTTTTTTTGTATTCATTTAAAATCGATTAGATTTACATTGGTGAAACTTAGATTTATTTAAAATCGATTAAATTTACATTAGAGGTGAAACTAACCGGACATGGTATCCAACCATTTAAATACATTTGGTCGTTAGAGATTACTTATGTTCAATTTGTTTCTTTTACTGCAAATCAATCGATTTTTTATTAGAAAATAAATTGATAATAATAATAATGATTATAACACTAAATAAAACACGAATTTAACCCAAACATGAAATCATTGTTTCAGGTTAAAAATTTTACCGCGAAATAAAGCTTAGAAAACAAGAGATCTCGATATAAAGAAATTCCGAAAAGAAAGATAAGTCTTCTATTCCTTTTTTTGTATTCGTACTTATTAATAAAACTTAGATTAGTTTAAAATTGGTTAGATTTATATTAGATGTGAAACTAACCGGATATAGTATCCAGCCATTTGAATACATTTGGTCGTTAGAGATTACTTATGTTCAATTTGTTTCCACAACTAATGTAGATCAATCCATTTCTTATTAGAAAATAAATTGATAATAATAATAATAATAACAATATTAAATAAAACTTGAATTTAACCCAAACATGAAATCTAATGTTGTTTTTGTAATTGTTTCACGTTAAACTTTTCTCAACAAGCAATTAAAATTTATCATCATTCGTTTAGGAAATTCCGAAAAGAAAGATAAGTCTTCTATTCTTTTTTTTGTATTCGTACTTATTAATAAAACTTAGATTAATTTATAATTGATTATATTTACATTAGATGTAAAACTAACCGGACATAGTCTCCAACCATTTGAAATACATTTGGTTGTTAGAGATTACTTATGTTCAATTTGTTTCCACAACTAATGTAGATCAATCCATTTCTTATTAGGAAATAAATTGATAATAATAATAATAATAAAAACATTAAATAAAACTTGAATTTAACCCAAACATGAAATCTAATGTTGTTTTGTAATTGTTTCAGGTTAAAGTTTTCTCAACAAGCAATTAAAATTTATCATCATTCTTTTAGGAAATTTCGAAAAGAAAAATAAGTCTTCTATTCTTTTTTTTGTATTCGTACTTATTAATAAAACTTAGATTAGTTTAAAATTGGTTAGATTTACATTAGATGTGAAACTAACCAGACATAGTATCCAGTCATTTGAATACATTTGGTCGTTAGAGATTATTTATGTTCTATTTGTTTCCACAACTAATGTAGATCAATCCATTTCTTATTAGAAAATAAATTGATAATAATAATAATAACAACATTAAATAAAACTTGAATTTAACCCAAACATGAGATCTAATGTTGTTTTTGTAATTGTTTCAGGTTAAAGTTTTCTCAATAAACAATTAAAATTTATCATCATTCTTTTAGGATTGTGTAATTGTATTTATTTTATGGTATTTTATTTGGTTGTTTTTTTATATATATTAATACAATAATCTGGTATTAATTTAAAAAATACATCACAAATATATATATGTGAAGGGAGACGGATTTGAACCCATTTTCACTTACAATGATTTTAAATAATTTGTCTTTGGGTCTGATTGATATGTCAGATGAGTAACAGAATATTTTGATTGAATAATTGTGAAACGTTGTAAAGCTCCTTTTAGTAGATTAATCATGTTTTGTTTTTTTGTAGTTATATTTTTAACACATTAGTGGAATCACGAAAAATATAAAAAAACGTAAAAATATGATGAATAATATGAATGATAAAAAAATAATAAAATCAAATTTTCAAAACGTGAAAACGTAAAAAAATTGCATACCATTCATTTATAATCACGCGCAAAGGAACCTGCACATTTATTCACATAGCTCCCTCCCTCTTTGCAAAACAAGAAGCCTACTTTAGTAAAACAATGATTTTAAACACGTTCTCGATTCGTCTTTGATGTAGCCGTAAGTTACATGTACTCTTAAAGTCAGACCGTCGTTTCAAAACATAATTCGTTTATATCCACGCCGATTGCACCACACAAACTGAACTATCGTACTCGGTTTTTTTTTTGGAGAGGTTCGCGCTTGTTCTGTTGCCAAACTGCAATGCTTGGCTAATTATGTTGGACTTCGTACCCATACGGCCATACCCATCTTTATTTTCAAGCTGCTATCATCCCTTTCTCTTTTGATGCATCTGTTTATGTGTATGTATCCTTAAATAGCGATGCGTCAAAAGTATGCTTCCTCATCATGTTCACATTTAATTATGCGACACACATTAACATGTCCAAACCCGTTCTCAGGACATTTTGGAAGTGTACCGATGACCGATATATCATTTTACGGTTTGAAGCGTATCTCAACCGAACCAAACCGGGAAAGCACGGTTTGATGCTGTCAAAATTTTCATTTCGACCCACACGAATCCTCACGCTACATCAGTGCTGTACTGCTAAACAACACATCGTGTAAATTGTTCGGAATCATGTATTTACGGTCGTACTGTATATGTAACGCCCATTAGATCTGTATTTCATTAAAAAAAAAAAATTAGGAGTCAAAGGGAAAAAAAAAGGGAAAGCAAGGAGATATGGTTGGCGGACGCGGCGGAGTTGGTGGTCGTGGAAGCGGCGGTGGTAACAGGGCGGAGGCGGATCGGTGGCTTGTAACATCGGAGAAGCTTCTAGCGTCTAGTGACCTTCAGGGAGCGAAGACATTTGCGATCCGCGCATGCGAATCCGACCCGACTCGAGCAGAAGCGGCGGACTACATCCTCGCAATCTGCGACATTCTTATAGCCGGAGAGACTCGTTTAGGTCACTCAAACTTGCCGGACTGGTACGCCGTGCTCCGACTCGGCCGGTTAGCTCAAAACCCCGAACACGTCGCGACTCAGTACCGTAGACTCGCTCTTCTCCTCAATCCGTCGGTTAACCGCCTCCCGTTCGCCGATCAAGCGTTTAAGGTCGTCTCTGATGCATGGCACGTGCTCTCTGATCCGTCGAGGAAGTCCTTGTACGACCGTGAGCTGCAGCTGAGTCAACTCGGTCAATCTGGTTTTCACCCCCAAAGCCAAGCTCAGCAGCAACAGTTCCAGTGGAAACCTAGCAAATGCACCAACATAGCACAGGAGCCCCCTTCTGCTGCGCGGCCAGCTACATCCACCGCCGGATATCCGCCGCAGAGCCAGGCTGGGATCTCGACCGACCCTATGGCGACTAGCTTCTGGACCGCTTGTCCATACTGCTTTGTTCTCTTTGAGTACCCTAAGGCTTACGAGGAACGCGTTTTCAAGTGTCAAAGCTGTAGGAGAGCGTTTCAAGCTGTGACGATACAGAAACCTCCGGTGGAGGGGAAAGGAGATGACGTTTACTTCTGCTCGTGGGCTGTATTCCCTCTAGGGTTTTCCGGTGAATTTCAAGCCCCAAGTTGGTCCCCTATTTCACCTCTCTTTGCCTGCCCTCTGCAAAAGGTGGATGACGATTCAAACACGAGGAAGAAAAAGGACCCGGCTCCTCCGAGAATGTTTTATGAAGATGATGACATATATGTTGCGATTTCCGAGGATGATGATGCTAGTGATGACGATGATGATTGGCAAGATGAGGTACAAGTGAATAAGAAGGCGAATGCTGGGAAAGGGAAAGAAACACTTGGGAGAAGTAACAAGAAACACGGAGCTGAGAAAGCTGGGAAGGGAATCCAAAATGTGGGAAGTACCAGTGGTGCTAGCAATGCCGCGGTTTCAATTTCTTCATATGCTACGGCTGTTGGTTCCTCATCTTATCTCACGTCTAAACCAGTGAGCGCTAGGGAAAGAAGGGGAACTGGAGTTAAGAACCTGGGGAGGTTGGATTTGAATGTGGAGTTCAGTAACGAAGGGGAAGAGCCTGGTGTGGCAAGCGGGAGAAATGAAGGCAACGGGCTCGGAAGTATCAGGGAGGTGGATAATATGGAAGGGATTGGGTTCTTTGAGGGCCTTGATGAATTCTTGAATAGTTTGCCGATACTTTCTGTTGTTGGTGATGATAAGTTCAAGGCTACTTAGTGAAGTAAGACTTTTTTCCTCTCTTGTTTTAGGTTGCGGTGTTCTGTTCGTGTGGTTGGTGCCTTTAGTTTTTTATGTCTCCCATTGATGTTTAACTGTGGTAGAGAGCCATTTGATTCCTTGGAATCCATGTAGTTGGAATCTGTTGATGTATATGGCACAAAA